GATCAGGTGTTTTGCGGCTCGTAGGATGAGGTTTACCGGGGAGGTCAATAAAGGGCTTTCATGTCGGCAGGGGAGCATCCAGACTAGCGTGCTGAGCCGACCAACAGCTGATCAGCTGTTGGTTGGCTCAGCGCGGCAGCCATGTAAATTTAAATGAAGCGGCGATTATTTAAATCGCCGCTTCATTTTCCTATGTCTGGTAGCCTAATCTACATGCCTCTGGTGACAGAGGCATGTAGTCTAGACGTACGCTTACTCTTGGGAAAATGTTGACAATGGAGACTGATGCTGGTATACCAAGTAACAGCTCTTGCTAAGACCGTAACCATCAGCTGAGCACTGACAAATTAATAGCTGAAACCAGACCAGATCATCTGTATTTTAGTATTGTTCAAGGTAGGAGTTAAGATTTATAAAGAAGCATTTAGGGTTTAAATGATAAAATGCTTGTATGCTGCTCCATGCATTAATCTTAATTGTAATGTCTGCATCTGAAGTTATAAGGCAATATGTAGGTTTTACTTTAATTCATTTGCTTTAAAATTAATTATTCAACCGCCTTCCTTCAACTTGTGAAGGGGGGGTCCCTTCCTCCCATCAGGACAGACTATAAAAACTAAAAGGGCCATAGTGAAGCATCACAGTACAAAGACTGGGCCAAGAGAATCTTCAAAACTATGAGAGGGCCATGTGCAAGGATGCTCATCCCATCGGTCTGAACTGACATTAAAAAATAATGTCATGGCTACATCTCTATTACTATTAAAAAATAGTGGACATGGAAATTAATAATATTTTTTGCTGTATGGATTCTTGCAAGGCTGGAACCAGAAAATAAAAGCAGAGATCCTCAGGTTCAAAACAAGTTAGCTCTAAGACAATAGTAATTTCTAACAGATTAGTAGTAATCTGTCACTTTTTGGAACCACTAACTGTGTATAACTATGTTGCCTAACTTGTAAATAACTCATTTCTTCTTCCTAGTTAATAAATCCTTAGTTTATGATAGAAAAGCATTGGCTACAAGTGTTGTCCTTGGTGTGAGAGCGAATACACAAATTGACCTAAGGTAAGTGACTGGTCTCTTGGGACTGGAAACATGCTAAATATTTGGTAATTTTTGTAATACTATAACCATTTATCACTGAGTCCAGCTTGCCTAGGTAGGAATATGGACTGACTAGGACTCCATGGTAAAACGGTCAGAGTGCTTTGGGAGTTCATGTTTGTTAGTTGGTGAAATATAGTTATAGAATGTACCACTAGTTTGAGGGGTCTACCCTGCTTTTTGGACAGTCTGATGTTAAAACCACTCCAGATAGTGTGACAGAGCCTTTTAGAAATGTTAGATACAACTCAAAACTGAAAATGTTCATTCTACTGACTGAGAAATGGATTCTAAGTCATCTAACTTCTTATTCTATCCCATCTTTTGCCACTACTGTAGCTTTGATAGAATTCATTCACACACACAATCTGAAAGTTATAATCCTATAAAATAATAGGATCAAAATAATGCTCAATATGAAAGAGGAGTGGTGAGAGAGGGCCCATCATTGCATTACTCACAAAGTCAGACGTATGAGGAGACAGACACAACATTTTTAACTTCCTTAAGTACTTTGATAGAGATGCCGGGTTACCGTAGTTATGATGTATAAACTGTGTACAGTCCATTGAAAATTACTACTAAAATGCACCACTTAAATAATTACAGGAGTACTGGAACTACTTAAACCAAGAGACAATTCAATCTTTACGACAACACTAAGGTTTTTCCATTTCATGGTCACGGGTAGTGAGGAGGAACCCAATGACAGTTGAGGAAATTCCACTCATTATGCCAGTGGAAGAGACAGCATGATGATGATATGCAGAGAGATGAGGACCCAGATCAGTTGATGAAACTTGGTATCAGCAAGGAACATTCCATCACATAAGCAGTGTGGCTGGCTTAAAGCACTGTAGAGTGCTAAAATTCTAATGTGAACCACTTAAGTGCATGGCATTTAGATATACGTCAAGATGAAGATTGAAAACTTTTGGTAATTGAAACTTAAGGTCATATTTTAAACCAGGGGGAAGCTGCACAGTCCTGAACATAAACATTTTGTTTCTTTTCCATAAACAAAACATAAAAATGGAAGACCAAGTGTAAGTCATTTACCAATGTTCTCAGCTAAGTTGACAACTGTACGCCAAGTAATAAAACATTTACAGCAATAACTGCAAGTAGAAACACTGATTGGGGTCTCTTCTCCTGAAGTCACCACACAGCCAGTCATAGGTTCCAGTGTTCAGTTGGCCTTGAATCATATCAGAGTTTATACAAGTCAATTTGCCAATTCACTTTTTAAACCCTATGCCTGAGTCCTGAACCACAGAAATGTGAGCTATAAGACTACATATGGTTTGCAAATAGTGAGACTGACAAATGAATCGCATGGAGTTATATCACCTCCAAAGGATGGACCATACCAGTATCTTAATATATTTCATTAGGAGATAACGGAGTCCTACTCAGGTTCTAATTCTATTTGTATCATAAATAGTATTTGGACTACAAATGTGGCACATTTGTTCACCCATATATTAAGTGTTCTGCTGCCCCACCAACTAAAATCTTAGAGATTAGGGATAACACAATGTAATTGATTAAGAGACAAGCTGGACTCTTACCAGTTTCTGATAACAGTTTTTCAGGGCCCAGCAGCTAGGACAGCCATGTAAAATGTGTGGAGTGTTGTGACACAGATATTTGCATCTTTAGTACCCAAGTAAATGTTTAATCATATAACCAATTTTTATCTGTTACATAATTACTGTTTTTACATCCCGATTAGAAATATAGGCACCTACCTCACTCTGTGGCTCCCGGATAACTTTATATAAAGATGAAACCAGAGAACTCTTGTCTTTCAAATTTGTAGCATAGCTAGATATAGATGATTCTGGAAGGGTCTGAAATCAACAAAAATAATTTTCCTTTCATGTTGTTACAGCAATATTTTACTGCCTATGCATTGAAAGGCGGCCATTTTATTGTGTCAGATGGCTTTTCTGTTTTTACAACATCTTTTCAACAGCAACAGTATCCATTCACTGCTGTTTATTCTAGGAAAAAATAGGTTTCATGTAAAGAAACATTTCTCTATAAGCTTTACAGTTCAATAAAATCCCAATATTTTTATACAAACAGCTCAAAGACAAATTATTAAAACTTACATTTTACCATTCCAATTTTGTACGGAATTTAACTAAATTGGTTGGAAAAAATACAGCTAAAAGGACAATTTCCACCACATTTAACCATCTGAATAGCATGCAAAAAACCAGTTTAAAAGAGAAACAGGAGATGAAATGTTGAGATTAGGAAAAACATGCAATGAGGCATGGCGTTGATTTTTGTTTTGTTCTGCAAACAGTTATAACACCTGCATCCATATGGAAGCCACAGGATGTTCCAGAAGATCAGATTTGGTCTAATCTGAAGAGACAGGTGTAGGTTTTGGTTTGGCTAGATTTAAGACACAAAAGGCCACCATAAAAATTTCAACAACTATTTTCTGAGTCCCTTTTCTTTGGGCTCCCATGAGGCTAAAGTCCTGAGAGCAAGACTCCCAGTACTTCTTAATATGGTGATGCCATTCAGTTATTCATCTGAAGCTATAGCTTTTGTAGTAATTATGGCATTGGGTCCTAAACCATGGTGCACTGACTCATTTATTACTTTTAATTTATATGTTTGTACTAAAACTGAACAGCAACATTTCACAGGCTGGTGGCATGATACGAGGGGTTTGCCCTGAAGTTCTGACTGCAGGAATTCTAATGGCTTCAAATTGTGAGCATGCAGCTTAAAGTTTGCTGCAGAACTGGCTGAACAATTGTCTGCATGTGGTGCTCTCATTTGGGAATGATAAAATGGCAAATCTTTGATTAGCCATGGAAGCCACTTTTACAATGGCTGGATGCAAAACTGATGAAAAAATAGTTGGTATTAAGAGAATGTCATGGCTGCCATTGTTCCCTTCAAAGTGATATTCTATATAATAAGATCAGGTGGAGAAAGTAAAAAATATGTTTTGGGGAAAAGAAATGTAGAAAATTGCCATTCCTCTCAAATACAGTACTGCAGCTAACATAAAACACTGCAATGTGTCAATAGGTAGAGCAGAAAACAGCAAAGGGATGGAGAGAAGTTGGCAGCAGTGTTTCCTGTAAGCTGTGTGCTAAGGAGGTCACCCAGGAGATTCAGGTGCCGCCCAGCTGATAGCAGAGTGCCCACAACTGGCAGCATGTGTTTCTACTGGTGGTGTACATCTGCACATGCCCTGGTGCACATTAATTTTTTTCTATCCTTGTGCAGAATAAATGTTGAGAGAACATTGGTTAGCTGCCTCAGTTTTTTTGAGCCAAAAAAATAAAAATAAAAAACCATGAAAATCATCCCAGAAAAAGAGGCAATACATTTGAAAGCAAGATAAGTTTACTTACTTAAGTGATATTTTGCTAACACAGAGCATTATAATCTACAACTAAAGCTTCAAGGAGTCAGTCTTCGGGAATTACTTTCCATTCCAAACAGTACATTCAAGAAGACAGGTAAATGAAAATAAAATGACAGCTATGGCAAGAATTTGATAAAAAAAGATACCATTTTGGTGTAACGTGAAAGTCTAGAGAGCTTCAACTAAGAGTATTTAGTTGGTAAACTAATATTTAAAAGGATTTGTTTTTAATCAGATTATCTTTTATCTTACTAAATTTGAAGTTTCTTCCATCTTTCAAGCATGAACTTCATTGGACTGTCATGTGCCAAACATAGAATACAGTCCTGAATATGGCAAGGAAGGAAATTCAGGTATATACTTGATGTGTCTTTTCATCTCACAGACTGAAATTTAACTGCCACATTTATCTCAAGGTTTTCCACAGCACCCATTTCAGCAGCAAGCAAGACTTGATCAAATACTACTGAATAAAGAATTTCTACTGCTGAAAAACTACTTTTCTAATAATCACACGATAATTACCTTGAACTCGGATAACCACTCCTCTACAATTCCTGTGTCCACAGCCAACATCTTCCCGCATGTGTACAGAAACCTTCAACTTTAAATACCTGAAGAATAGAAAAGTGTTTGTTAAGAGTGACAGAATTTATGTGAAGCATACATCATTAAGAAGTTATACAGTATTTGTCCATCTACCATAATTATAAAAGGCTGCGTCTAGACTACACCTCTCTGTTGACAGAGGGATGCAAAACAAGTACAGGCAGTCCCCGACTTACGCGGATCCGACTTACGTCGGATCCGCAGTTACGAACAGGGACATGGAGCAAAGGGGCTGGGCTGGGCTGCCCCCCTGCCGGCTTCCCCCGCGGCTTTGTAAAGCTGCGGAGGGGCTCGCGCAGCGGAGCAGCCCAGGTGCGCCTGGGCTGCCCCCCTGCCGGCTTCCCCCGCGGCTTTGTAAAGGTGCGGAGGGGCTCCGCCGCGCGAGCCCCCCCCCCCGGCCTTGCCCGCCGGGGGGGGGGCC